GAAGAGCTCCTCGATTGTCATGTTCCCCTGATACTTTTACAAAAATTTCGAATTTTTCACTTTCAGTGAAAAATTCAGTGAAGAGCTCCTCGATTATCATGTTCCCCTGATACTTTTACAAAAATTTCGAATTTTTCACTTTCAGTGAAAATTTCAGTGAATAGCTCCTCGATTGTCATGTTCTCCTGATACTTTTACAAAAATTTCGAATTTTTCACTTTCAGTGAAAATTTCAGTGAATAGCTCCTCGATTGTCATGTTCCCCGGATACTTTTTCAAAAATTTCGAATTTTTCACTTTCAGTGAAAATTTCAGTGAAGGACTCCTCAATGTTCATGTTACCCTGATACTTTTTCAAAAATTTCGAATTTTTCAATTGCAGTGAATACCTACCTGAAGAAAAAATTGGAATTATTTTGAAAAAAAAAAATGAATGACGGCGGGATCGAACCCGGGCCGTCGGCGTGCTAGCCGAGCACGTTACCGCTAGGACAACGCGCTCATTTAAATTTAAAAATTCATTACTGGTATATATTCAATAGATTGAATAATTTTTTCCAGTGAAATTCCACAAGATGTGGTTTCCCCCTTCCGTACGTGCTACAGTCGACTAAATTTCAGTTAAACAAATGAAAAATAAAGTATTCACACCGCAGAGAATAAAATTCACCCCGTCGACTTGATGGACACCCCAGCGTTGCAATAAAAACTTGGTTAATAAAAAAAAAAACACCCTATCATTGCATCTGGCGCCCTCCCTCTCGTGGGGTGCAGTACTACGATGCCGCTATGGTCACTCAAACTCCCAGAACTGAGCTTCTACTTTAGTCAATCCTCTTTGGTCGGGCGTATCGTATGATATTTGACGTCTCCAAACTCTCTGTGTGTTTTGTGTAGTGATTTATTCGTAAATTGTACTCATCTATCGCCCTGAAAGTCTTAATTTAATCCTAATAGGTAATTTTTCCCACTTCCATCTTTCAATGACATTTTTATTAAATAAAATTCACGAATGACAAGTGTAGAATCATGAGTAATCATATATGTACATTACCCGTTAGATTTCACTGAAGGTTAATGAATTTTGCACTTTAGAAGAGGATTCACAATAATTTGGTGTTCATAGGAATTTGATATGGAAAAAATGGTTATGTTAGTTATTATGGTGTACAGAAACTTTTATTATGGTGTACAGAAGCTTTTGGAGATGATACGTATAGTCATATGAGTTCGAATTGGATCAATAAGTCCATCACATCATATAGCCAGGGAAAATGTCACCGGTTTTCACAAAACACTCGTCTTTTCACTTCACTCATTCAAGAGATTAATTAGCATTGATTAATTATTTTGGTAACTCTATTCCTCTCAGAATTCAATAAAATGATGAATATCTTCAGTTCTCTATCAGTGCAGACATACATATGCATATATTTATATGCGTATAAATGTTATATTTCAGGTGTGGTCTATCGTGAAGTGAAGAAATTATGATGTCCGATCGAAAAGCAGAGTTAGAGAGGAAGAAGGCGAAACTCCAGGCTATCAGAGAGGAGAAAGAGCGACGTAGAAGGGAAAAAGAGCAGAAAGATGCAAGTTTTTTTCCGTCTTCGCGTGTCAAGTGGAATATTATCAATGGGAATTTTTCAATGGGTCATTTTTTGGTTTTTCAGGTAGAAGAGGCCACAGTAAGAGCAGCTGGAGCTGACAAAGACCATCGAAAGGAGCTGGATGCAATGCTATCATCTCTTGGGGTAGCTCCAGTCTCTGGTATCAAAATCATTGCCACCTAGCAAATCAATTCTATTCAGTGGACTTTATTATTATAGATTAATATAAATTACTCTTTATCTCGATGCAGATGTTTTATCTAGTCTTTCGAGTATGAATTCTCTGGCTTCAGATCAGAGCAATAATATAACACCTGATGTCAGTATGCAACCCTCAAGCATAACTCCAGCCCAATGGTGAGAAGATTATCCTGATGATATAATCATAATTTCTACGGGATTGAATAATAATTACAAAAAATTACAAATCCTATGCAGTGGTTCAACAAAGAAAAAGTCAAATCGTGAACTGACCGTTGTCTCAGTGGCCCACACTAACATTCCGCCAAAAGAACCAGTGGTATACAGCAAGCAGACGCAAACAGCCCAGACAGCCCAAACTTCGCACGACGGTGAGTAATATTTTCAGAAAGAAAAATTCCCACGATCAAATAAAATCACTGTTACCGCGATAACGATAAATTCTCGATGGATATTAACAGCGTGAGATAAACACGACACAAGTGTTAGTAATACGCTAACTTATCCCTGTTAAAAAATACTGGTTAATCTCAATAATTCATTACTCTCCAATTTAATTTAATTATCTCCTCTTTCGATGAAACATTTTGTGTTATATTCATTAATTTATGACGAGGAAACTTACATATTCACACGTGAATAATTATAAGCTCGCCGATTTCAACCAACAAATCATGGGTTTTAATTTATGCACTGAGTGAAATTTAATGCACTCTTAACAACTATTATTCAATTATTTCATCGATTCGTAAATTTCATTCAACCACCCATCAACTCGCGTCACAATAACTCATACATAAATTACCTTACCATTTGTTTTATTCAAATCAATAGTCCAAGCACACTGCATGATAATGGAATTTGATTTTTCGTTGATTTTAGTTTAGTTAGTCATTGATTTTCTCGTTGGGTCGTTGGTTGGGGCCTGTGGATAGTATTTGAGTGGAATAAGGAAATGATATCCATCACTGCTGCTTTATCTCTCCCATTCTTCCCGTAATTACACAAAAAATAATTGTTTTCATGATAAACACCTTGACTCATCTCCTTATTCTTCTCAATTGACAAATAATTACAGTGTAATTCGAATAAAGACACATGGTGTTTGGGATATAAACCCCGAGACCGCAATTTTAGTCGGTGAAACAATTCACCACAATTTTCGTTGCCCCATTTCATTGAATTATTATTCATCCACTCAATTGAATATATAATAAACAATCCGACTGATGTTGCGGTTATTTTCTAACAATGCCTCTGGTGTGGTAATAACGGACACGAAAAAAATGAAAACTAATGAATGAAAAAAAAATAATAATAATAAAATAAAGGATTGTCCGACTCCTCTTCCGCAAACACCATCTACTCCTACTGTACGACAACGTCACCAACTCACTCTTGCTCCGCAGGCTACTTTGAGACTGACTGGTGGCGTCCCAGGAAAGGTGGGTCTGCACCAAACTACCTATGTATGTTTTGTCTAATTTTTTTGTTCTTAATTATCCTCTCGTTAACTGTTACTGGTAGATATGAGACAAGAGATTATTCTGTGAGGGATGTGGAGGATATCCTAAGCAAATATTTACCTATTGCTTACACGCTTCGCTACTTGTCAACTCATTCTGGGAGTCTCATTATCATTTGCTGCTGCATCTCCAGTATCACCAGAATGAGTTGCATAACAACAATATGCTTACATTATACTCCACACTTTTCAAGAAATAGACAATTACATCCGAGAGATTGAAGAACAACTCTTTTATTATTGATTTTAAATATAAGTGGATAATTTTAATGGGAATGGCACTAACACCAATTTTTTAAACAAATTACTACAACTGTTATCCTCACTAATTATCATTAATCCTCGGCTGTTGAGAACTAACAGATTAAACAACTTGGAGAAATGTGTATAATCCTGGTATAATCATCAGTAACAAATGATAGTGAAATCGATTGTAGAGAAACTTTAGGGGGGTGGGCATAAGTGTGACAAGGCATGGTACTATTTATCGACAATAGAAATATTTTCCAACATCAGAGTATGAACTATCGTGAGGATGAACATCAATTGATAATTTAAAAATTTCAATGCACGATTGCATTTTATTTACGCGTAGAACATTAGCTATGAATATGTATGTTTCCTCTAACGCGCAGTACAGATTTTTCACACGATTAATTAAGAATCACACCTAACTACATTCAGTGTATGTAATAACACATATAGTTATTTCGAAGAAGAAATACTATTTTTAACGATTGAGTGTTAAGAAGAAAGTAAAAAGCCGCAAGAGTCATGCCCTGAGTGTAGGGAGGTATTAGCTGAGATATTTTCATTAATTATTCTGAAGAGAAAGAACAACTAAGTGACAATTTTTTCCCCTTTCCCCTCCCCTCAGCTCATGCATTCGACTATTACGGTAAGTTATGATTTCCCTTGGTTTGTATTGAGTTATTAACTCATATATTAGTATGATCAATGATCAATCGTGCGAATAGATATTTGGGATTAGGCTCACACTCTCCACCCGGTGATCTCATTCAATTTTTCAGATGAACAGGATGAAAATAAACTCTATTATATCAATCTACTATTCTCTAATACTCTCCTATTTTTGCCTGATTAAATGAAAAATAGTGAAATACCAGAATGCAATAATCAATGTCTATTGAATGCACAAATGATAAATTCCATGGGGTAAACATTGGTCGCACGATCTACAAAAACTCATTGAATTAATACTCATGAAGAGCAACACAATGCAAATAAAATATTGCATGCAATAATATTGCAGCAGGGGATAAATAACGGAATAAATCTTGTCACAACTTAACGCACCTTCCAGAGTTCTCCAAATGATATTCACATTCATTGTGATTAATTGATAAAAAGTACTTGAAGGTGTTGAATTAATGTACAACTCGATTTACAAAACGATTTATTAACAAACTAATCGAGTTAAGTGTACGGATTTAAGTAAATGCTGGGTTTTATCACTCAATTAGGTATTCTAACATCAATGAATTGTTAATTAATCCTAACAAACAAGCAAAATGCTTACACCCATTTACAAATTGAGACTGAATTATCTAATTGACTAAACAAACAGGGCAGAGTGCATAATAGCATGAATAAATAGATTATTAATCCACAAACTTACTGATCAACTGACGAAACGTTTTAAACTCAGATGAATAATGATTGATCGACCATTAGATCTAGCTTTTGATCTGGCGTTTATTAATAATCATTCACTGAGAATATTGAAACGTAAACGTGAAAAGGATACGCAATTGATTGACATTTTCTTTTCCCTCCTTCAAGACGAGTACAATCTAAATCCTGGTTTAGAGTGGGAGGACGAATTCACAGGTAGGTGATCAACTCTCAGAAGGTGAACCCACCATTTAATGTTATTATATATATATATATATATATTTTTTTTTTTTTAATTCGTTGTCACGAGCATCCTACAGAGCTTCACTTTATCCACACGTTCACCACGAGCCTGAACAATCCATTTGTTTTTATTTTATTTTGAATTGAAATTAGTCGTTGACATTTGCCTTGACCTTTATTATTATTGATGTAAAACACTTCTGGTTTCATAAAAAAAAAATCACTGAAAATGCTCGTTCAAGATTATGAGAAGGCTTCCAAGTGCTCTTGCAACCCGTAATTAATTTACACACAAAGATAAATAAAAAAAAATAAATGAAAAATAAATGACAATTCTGCCAGACGTATTTGTTTAACATGATCAAGACAATGTACGCTGGCTCATTCGACTACCTGTGAATTTATCAGGGTGCATGACGTACCTCGGCAGAATTCAAACCTGAAAACACACCTATTCAACACGCATGACAGTATTTCTTTGACATCTTTCGTTGAATCGTCTGTCCAACTTTTATCATTTTCTCGTTGTGCATGAGACTCAGGAAGTTGCGTTCATTTATTTCATTTTTATCATTATTTCATTATTGTGATTATATTATAATTATTGAATATTGTCAACGAGAGGTTGAGGCATGACAGAAGGAGGGTGGAGAGATTCTTGACGAAAACGTTAGATATTCATCGCGTGACTAATGCCCTCGCATGCAGCACTATTTTTTCCTATTTTTTTTTCGTATTTTTATTAGTTTGATTCTACAATTGTTATATAGAGCAGCATGTAAATTGAGCGCCAGATGTAGTTCAGTACAGCCAGTCGATAATACGTATATTCGAGTAATTTTCATAAAATATTTATACGGGGAAAGTGAAAAATAATTTTTTCAAGTATCGAGGAACGTGAATATTTAGAATTAGGGAGTAGATATTCGGGACTAGCTTATTCACCACAGTTTTGACATATGATGATGGCCAAGCCGAGGATGAGGAGAACAGTCTACCTCACATGGACGGTTTCCAAAGCAAACTACCACCTGGAATTCTTCCCCATGGTCTGCCCCAGGTCAAGGAGGTCCAGCCAGCGGTCACCCAGGTTGAACAACAGTCCAAGGAAGAGAAACCCAAAGAAGGTTAAATTAAATATATTATTTGAATCAATAAATTGAGCATGAATGTAAGAAAAATAATGGAATTTTTGGTTTCAGTCCGAGAATTGAGTGAAGAGGAAAAGCAAATGCTTATCCTCTCCGAGGACTTCCAAAAGTTTTTGGACAGAACCAGTCGAATTGTCGAGCGGGCATTAGCCGAATGCGTTGATATTTACGCGGATTACACCGGGACATTGGATGGAGAGGAAGGAATGTGAGTATTTAAGAAAAAAATCCTCATATTTCTCAAATGAAATTCAATTGAATTTGATTTTTCAAAGGGACGAGAAGAGCCATCAACGCCTGTGGCTCAACCGTTCGTTTTCAGACGAACGTTGGTCGCGAAACCGATGTGTCACATCCCTAGACTGGTCCCCCCAGTTTCCAGAGCTGCTCGCGGCCTCCTATCACCACAACGATGACGCACCCAACGATCCGGACGGTATCTGCCTAATTTGGAACACAAAATTCAAGAAGACTACCCCAGAATTTATCTTTCACTGTCAGTCCCCGGTGATGTCGACGACATTCGCTCGTTTCCATCCCAACTTAATTCTCGGTGGTACATATGCAGGTCAAATAGTTCTCTGGGACAATCGAGTTCAAAAGCGAACACCAATCCAACGTACTCCTCTATCAGCAAGTGCTCACACCCATCCAGTTTACTGTCTCAACGTTGTCGGTACCCAGAACGCTCACAATCTCATCAGCATCTCCACAGATGGAAAAATGTGCTCGTGGAGTTTGGACATGCTGTCCCAACCCCAGGAGACCCTGGATCTACAGGCTAAGCAGTCCAAAGCAATAGCAGTTACTCGTCTGGCATTTCCTCATGGTGATGTGAATAATTTTGTCGTTGGTAGTGAGGATGGAACTGTTTATTCAGCCTGTCGTCATGGAATACGAGCTGGTGTTACTGAGACGTATGAGGGACACCAGGGGCCAGTGACGTCTGTCAGTGCTCATGCTGTTCAGGGTGGCATCGACTTCTCTCACTTGTTCCTCACATCATCCATCGACTGGACGATTAAACTCTGGAGTCTCAAGGAGAACAAACCACTTCACTCGTTCGAGCACAATGGCGACTACGTGTACGATGTCGCCTGGTCACCAATTCATCCATCTCTATTCGCAGCTGTCGACGACTCTGGCCACTTGGATCTCTGGAATTTGAATCAGGACACTGAAGTACCCACTGCCAGTGTCGTTGTCGATGGGGCACCAGCACTCAATAGAGTCTCCTGGACACCCAGTGGGCTACACGTTACCGTTGGCGATGATTCTGGTAAAATCTGGGTGTATGATGTCGCTGAGAATTTAGCCCATCCCCGTGGAGATGAGTGGAATAAATTTTTGTACACACAGCAAGATTTGAAGAACAATAAGGCGGATGAGGAGCTCGATAAACTCAACTTGAGCTCTGGACCCTCGAGTCTCAGCTCTATGTCGTCGATCTCATCGGTGCCCATCAGATAAATCCACCGAATATAGTCTTGAGGGATTTTTACTGATTTTTTTCCGTTTCGCTCAAGTTTTCCGGAAGCCCACAATATTGGTCTCTTTCCTTCTCTTTTTTAAATCAGTTTCTTCAGCCGATTTGTTGAATGTGTTCTCATTTTGTTGAATTATTCAGTCGGAGGGATTTTTTATGCTTATTCGTGTAAATAATTGAGATTATATTGAGTTTAAATTGTCTTTTTTTACTTGCACTGCATAATTGAGGATTTATCCAATATCCATAACTATAAATACTTGTAAAATAGATATTCTCGGTTTTAAATTGAAAAAGCAACAACTCTTAAGCTATTATATTCGTCAGTGCAAAACCATATGTATCTCCAGTGTAATGTTCAACTCCGCGTATATTTATTATTTCAAATTGTCCATGTAAAAACTATAATAACCTTGGAAAAATAAACTCCTTAATGCAGTATCCCCATTTTTCTCTTATTTCTCCTCAAAAGTAATGGAAAGTACGATGATGATCATCGAAGCGTAAAAAGTGTGTCAACAATTCAATTGACTCCAAAATTGGATTGTTTTTCCAAAGAATGGTGAGTAATAGGAACATTTGACAGTAGCAGATCCAGGGGATGGCGTCCCAATTAAATGCTCGTTCATTGCTCCCGTAGGGGTAACCTGGTGGCAAAGGGGGTAAAGGGTGGTATAATATGAAGGTACGCGCTGCGCGGGGCTTCTTGCGCCTCGTGCGGTCAATGTTGTAACCAAATACGTAATAATAAAAAAAAAAAAAAAAAAAAAGAGGAAAGTACGAAGGTTTTTGGGGAGTGGAAGCTGGTGGATTTGTGGAGGAAATCGGAGGGGAGTTCAGTCATTGCCGTGCGCCGGCCGTTGCTGATAAATTCGTCAGTGTTTGCTCGTCACCACTGAAAGAGACACGTTATTCCACTCTCGTAGCTTATAATCCGTTGTTTTATTATTCATGTAATAAACGAATTGTGGTCCAGTGATTCTGAAAAAATGGGGGACACGAAGACTGGTGAGTTGACCTACATATCCATTACTCCAGCTTCTGTTCGTGGAATTTAATTATTTTTATTTTTTGACTTTTTATTTTGATTTCTCCTATCTATCGGCGATACGAATCCTGTTGCCTTTATCGGAGCCGAATAACGTCACGTCTCTGACTCATTATCATTGCTCAATGTCAATGAGTTGCGATGCAGATACGTGTGTCGTTATTGCTTTTATATCCTCATGGGATTTGAATTTTCAGAGCACATTGTCATGACACCCAAATGCAAAACTGCTAATTCAACGACACTAATTATCGAGAGACAATCATTGGATTGTCTACCTCAGACGGATCAGAGGGGTGTTCATGTGGCTGGGGGAGATCATCAGGGAATTGTCATCAATAAACATGCAACTGCAGGTAGTCAATGGGTTGAGGGATAGAATAATTTCAATCGATTGCAGATCGCCGGCCTTTGCGCGATAGTTGATTGAGAGAAAATATTTCCTATCCCCGATGGATTTCATCTACAATCGAATCATTTTGAAGCAGTATAATAACACTTTCAATTGTGAAATGATTTTTATACAGCGAACGGGATTTCGAGGCCTGCCCATCTCGGCCTCGAGTTTCGGGTCTTCCTCGTTAGTGCACAAACTAAAAAACACACCCAGGAGTCAAGGAGACTCCAATTCTGGTTTGTTAATTCATTACCGGAAATAGAACAGCCTCACGTGGCACAGGAATTCTTCAGGGAGCTAGTGAGCCCCCAAGAATTTCCCAGAGGTAGTAATTCCGTGTTAATTTCGAGAAAATTCCGAAACGTCATCTTCCGAGAAATTTTTCATCGTCAATTAATTGTAAAAATTGAGACCAATGGAATTCTCGTAATTTGTAGATTACGTCGGATTTATTAAGAAGATCATGAAACTAATGCAGCACAAATATCCAAACATCAAGAAACTGGAGGTGGAGTTGAAACAGCTGGAGGAACCAATCACTTTACCATGGAGACCATGTAAATGACACTCAATTTATCATGTGCATTATAACATTCATCTTTAAGTGGTTTAAGTCCAAGTAATTGAACGAAAACGAGCGATGGGAGGGAAGGGGATCGGAGGATAATTAAATTAGTACGATTGTCGCAAGTGACTCTCCATGAGGGGGAAATTTCCGCAATTAATTAGCAAATTTCATGTGCTCGACAGTTATATTGACATTTTTTTTTTAATTTTGAACAATGTGATAAAAATATATTCCCATTATTCACAGCTCGGAGTGGCAACTGTCTGTACACTCTACCGAGAAAGAAAAGTGTTCGGATATCAGGTTCGATTTAGGAAGAAGAAATCTTCAATTTGCTCTGCTATTTTTTTTTAATCAATTAATTGTTCATTTTGTTTCACCTTATCACAGGCTAGTAGACTTCCAACAAGTTGACGAAATGTTTTTTTTCTTTTCAATATACATCATCATTTTTTTTTTTATATCAATTATATCCATCAATTGAAGTAACAATTGCACGAATATCTAGCAGAAAACACAGTATAACGATAGTTCATCTAGATTTATTTAAGACGAAATTTCATCATTCACTAGTTCCATATTTTCAAGTGTTCATGGCTGTATTCGTTTTTAGTGGAATTTTTTGACAATTTTTCAACACTATTTATGTATCTGAACAGTTACAGATGTGTAACCATAACAACATTGATTTAATAACGATTGTTGCTTGAAATTTGCGTTTCTTACGAATTTGAATAATCGATAACTGGCACACTGCCCCTGTTCGGAAGATACCTCGCATGGTTGATTACCAAGACCTCTTTTCAGATACTGATAATAAATTATCATCATTCACGTTATTCCCTGAATTACGAGACACTTGATAGACTTTACGACCGATATTAATTCCCATAATTGCCATAATTTTTTTAGTATCCATTGATGAGACTATAATCGGACAAGCGGTCGAATTGACCGCCGAGAAAGTCTTGGAGCTGATAGAATCCGCCTACCCGAATCCAGTTAATATCGAGGACATGGCAAAGTGAGTCTTCACTCTCAGAAGTTATTAAAATATGTCCTTGATTTTTTAACAATAATTTATCAACTGCAGAGAGTACAATTGGGAGGCTGATGCAGTCACCGCAATAATGGTGGCTCTAGAAATGAAAGGGATGGTGAAGGCAATGGGACTTGGAGCATTCACTAGAGTTGCTCATCAAGACACTCAAATCAAAGTAATCCCACTAATTCTCCCTTTAATTCACTGTAATGGAGAGAACAATAATTTGGAAAACGTTTGCAATGAATTTTTAGGTGGTCAAACAAATGCCGACAATGGCAAGTGCAAAACAGCCGACAATAGCGATTATTACAGCTCAATACTGCGAAAAACTAGCAGTGGACTCGATGATTGAGAATAAAGAGACCTTTGTCCGCTACACGACTGTTGGTGAGACACCATTTATTTATCTAACACTAGCAGGAATGATAGCCCATTAATTAATGGATCGCGTAATATCCCCTTTGCCAAGTTATTTTATGGTGCATGATAACTCCAGGTACCGCAAGCTCACCAGACTCCGTCGATGGGAGTATTCCAAAAGTCATTTGCCGATTTGGTAAAGTAGTTTGTCATTAGAAATATTCGTGTTATAATCATTGATAATCATCTGGCTTCATTGGGGATGCTCGCTTATGTATTTGTTTAATCATCTATTGAATTTGCCTACACAATTATTTCCAGGACATGACGTATTCATTAAAAAGAATATCATTTCATCTGTATTAATGACGTGTTGATCATGATGCAATTAAAGCACTTGGAATTGTACATAAATTCCCTTTGAAACAGGAATTTTATGCAATTATAAGACTCATCAGCACAATGCACCTGATATCAATTTTTTATCGCATTGTTCAACTCCTTGTAATTAAAGAAATTAATTTCAGGGGAGTCGAACGTGTACACCCTAGGGAATATCGGAGCTCATAGAATAGTTTGTACAAAGCTCCCAACAGTGGGACACACGAGAGAGGCAATGACAGCAGCAGGAAATACAACGACTCGTCTCCTGGGTAAATTTTTTGCCAATAGAACTGATAACTTTTTTCATCCGAAAACTATCAACTGCAAACATTTCCAGGAACATTCCAAAAAGTTGACTACGTGTTTCTGGTGGGTGTAGGGGGTGGAGTGCCCCACTACACGGACTACAATAAGCACGTCCGACTGGGTGACGTGGTGGTATCCCATCCCACACCCTTGAATAACAAATACGTCTACATCTACTGCGAAGGGGCTAAATCGAACGATGATGGAAGTTATCACTTCGATACAAAGGAGTACTGTCCCTCGAACCTGGGCATTCAGGAGATATCTCAGACACTCAAGACCCAGGCAGAGGAGTCCACTCCACCCTGGAGAAATTATCTGGTAGAGGGGCTGGAGAATTTGGGTAATCAGTCGCAGCACGATTTCCAGAGGCCTCCAGAGGAGTCTGATAAATTATACATGGCTATTGGTGAGAGGGATATCATCGAGGTAGAGCATCCAGCAGCCCCCCAGGACACACCCAAGAGAACCGACTGTCCTAAAATTCATCTGGCTCCTGTTGCATCAGGGCGAATAGTCTCTCGTGACGATCAACTCAGGCAAAAGTTTGCCTCTAGATTTGGCTGTTTGGCTTTTGATGCTGAGATGGATGCTGTTGTTGAAAGCATTTTAGGTAACTGTCGAGACAGTTTTGCTGTGATCCGAGGTATCGCTGATTACAAGGATGGTGCCAGGGGTAAAGAGTGGCAGCCATATGCAGCACTCGCTGCTGCTAGTGTTGTCAAGTCTATTATTTGTGCTATGGATCCACCAACCAATGTCTAAAATCGACCTCGGAGTTTAATCAAATTTTTAAGGTAACTAGTGATTGTCAGAAAGTATTCGTGAATTTTTGAAAAAGATAATAGAAATTTTTCAAGAGAATTACATGCCATTTGATTCTGGAGAACGGATCCTTAATATCAAGTCCTGTCGATTACTGAAGGATTATTTATTGGATTAATCATTTTTGAATGATTTTCATCGGGATTAAATGACGTGCCACCGACTAAGAGTTATCTAGAATAAGAATCTATTTATATCTGAAACTGAAAGCGAACCAAAGTGGAGTTTACGTTCTAGTACAGCTGTTTAATTCATATCTACCATAGAATTTAACGCATGAATTGTTCCTACTGTTGGAATGATTTTAGGAGTAAATGTAAGCTTTACGATAGGATAACGTGGAGAGAATAATATAATATTTATGTGCCAGCGTGTTCAAAAAATATACGAAAAGTACTGCCATAATTCATGATAATCGTTAACTATTTCAAACAGTTTAAATAAAGAGAAAACAGAGATAAAAAATAATGGTAAAAGCACAGGGTAGTTTTAAATGAGATACAATGGCGTTTGAAACACCATTTCATCCAAGTGGACTTGGATTCAAAACGAAAATAATTAAATTAGATTTTCGATAACGGATTAATCATTTGTGGCAGAATTCTTGTCTATTATTTAGTCGTCAGAATATTTATTTATTTATTTTCAATCCCAGTCCGTAGTTCTTAAAAATTTTAAAGCTGAGGATCAAAAATAGAAACGAGTCGTAAAAGATTATTAATGGATATAAAAATATATTAGAGAGATATGAGAAATATCGTATTCAGTTTCGATTTACCTGAAGAACTTCTTATCTACAATCATCGCATAAATTCTAGGTATTAATTCTTCTATTATGATTTTTAACCGCACGTTGACGCTAGTCGTAGTCGAACTGTGTTTACTCGTTAATTGATAAGTTAATTAATAATGCAGCTACAAATCACAGCGCATAAAACGACAACTCATTCCGTCTCGCTTTTATCTGTTAATTATAAAAATGTCTTCCAACGGACCAATCGATTAGTAACTACAACTTCATTATTCATAATTTCGTAATTTTTTAATGCGTTGATAAACTGTCATTAATTGTCACTGAATTATTTGAGTATGGAGAGAGAAATAAAAAAATCCGTACTAAGAAAATTCATTCGTCGTGATTAATTCAATTTCCCATAAAAAAAAAAAAAAAAAAAATGATCAATAATGCAACTGATAATTGAGATAGAGTTTCTGTGTTGGAGTATCAACTATCGATTATTGTGCATCAAGGGGAACAATTATGGCAACTTCTGTAATCGACTTCTCGGGGGGCAAGCCTAAGGTGAGACTTTTCGGCATGACACATGCGTTTTTTTTGTTATTTATCTAGTTCACCGTTAATTGTCGCTTTTGCGATAAATAAGTGACACATCCTACATATGCGCAGGTAATTATCTTAATACCGCAGGTATTGTTCACATGTGTTGGAAATCTTAGAGGTGACAGATGCCTCTTCACCTCTTCATCGCAAGTATCGTCTCAATTCCATTAACGTCAAGAGGATTCAGACGTATCTCCCTGAAAATGGCACGAGATATCGACTATCAGCATCCAATAAAATCCATTAAAAGTATGAAAATCTTGAATATCGTCATCCCGAAGAATATCTTGGACACTTGATAAATTGATTTACAGGTAGTGGATGGCTGTCATGCCGAAATATCCTGTGGCACCTAGTTTTCACTGGAGGTATTGTCAACTACATGGTGAAGGTCTGTCTAAACCTCGCGATCGTCGCTATGGTAATCCCCAGAAGAGAAAAACTCAACGATCTAGCTGAATGCAGTAATGGGCCTACACCTCTCAATTCCACAGAGTATCTCCACGTGAGCTTCAATGAATCGAGTGAAATGCCACACATTGAGGTGATTCTCCTCAAACTCCACCATAATTACATTTTAATCAATCCCTAAATTGTAATAACAATAGGGTAAATTTAACTGGAGCGAGCATGAACAGGGTCTTGCCCTGGGGGCCTTCTACTGGTCCTACTGGACCACTCAGGTACCTGGTGGTCTTCTAGCTCAGAAATACGGGACTAAACTCGTGTTTGGTGGAGCTAATTTTCTCGGTGCTGCTGTGGGACTTCTCATTCCATCCGCCATCAAGTGGAATTTCAATGTTTTTCTGTTTCTCAGGGTTCTCCAGGGTGCAATTTTGGTAAAAATTTTTCTATTTACATTTGTCTTGCTTTACAATGCTCTGATCAAGAACAAGATGATAAAATTATATCCATTAACGATTCTAGGGTGTCGTTACCCCATCCCAAAACATCATGACGGCCAAGTGGATTCCTCCCGACGAAAGAAGTAAATTTGTGAGTGCCTACATGGGAGGATCAGTGGGAATAGCAATTACCTATCCCTTGTGTGCAATTATCATCAATAAATTTAATTGGGAAGCAGCATTTTACTTCGTATCCGGCATCTGTATACTTTGGTAATTCAATTATATCTCCCGGGGTACTACCAATAAATTTTAAATAAATCTCCTGGTACAGGTATTGTTTCTGGGTGTTCCTCATGTTCGACTCACCGCAGCAGCATCCTCGCATATCTAAGGAGGAGCTCGATTATATTCTGTCGAGCACTCCAGCCTCGATGGCAGCGTCAACGAAACGAGCCATCCCATGGAGATCAATCCTAACATCGAGGCCAATGTGGGTGACAATTGTTGCACACTGGGGTGCCACTTGGGGTTTTTACACCCTTCTCGCTCAGAGTCCAACGTACTTCAGGTTCATACACGGATGGGATCTCAATTCAGTCAGTAATTAAAATATTAATAATAATAAAAATGAAAAAACTCCTCTGGAATGACATCAACTGATGAAATTTTCTCCATTATGCTCTGTTCTTCAGACAGGTCTGATTGCAGGTGCGCCGTACATTCTCCTCATGATTTTCTCCTACTTACTAGGTTGGTGGTGCGATTGGTTACAAAAATCCGGTAAAATGACGCGCACTGGTGTACGAAAAATGGCAATAACCATGTGCACTGGGGTACAAGCTGCCTTCACCGTGGGCTTGAGTCTGAGTGGATGTCAATCGGGTCTCGCAGTGTTCTTCATGTTTATGGGTAGAATAGTAACCGGTGGAATACCAGCGGGAACATCAGCCAATCTAGTCGACCTGAGTCCCAATTTCAGTAGCATTCTTCTTGGAATCTGTGGCCTCTCAGCCAACATCGTTGGCGCTATTTCACCTCTCATTGTTGGGGCCCTGACGAACGACAATGTGAGGACTACTAAGAAATCAATAGACTTATCCTCATATCTCTAATTATCCCTGAATCTTTCAGCAAACGATTGGACAGTGGAGACTAGTCTTCCTTATAGCAGCATCAAACATGATGATTGGTTTTATCGTTTTCATGGTTTGGGGAACCGCCGACGAACAATCCTGGAATTTTTCACCGGACGAGCAACAACATGAGGAAACAGTTCATCTTAATGAACAGGACAATCAATCAATTGAGAGGATTGATGAAAAGGGCAAGATGGAGACAAGACAACTTGAATGTTGAAATTTCATTGGATAAAGGGTGAATGAAGAAGTGTAAAAAAATTGAAAATGTTGGCATTTTGAATAACTAGCGCCACCCCGGCCACTTGTTAGTCATTGTTTATCACTTTTCGGTAGCCATTATTATGCTCTCCTTTATATATGAGGATTTCTCCATGACTATCACCTCCTGGGGGACCTATCCTACCAACAGCCACAAGCCCAGTTCTCCCTAGTTCTCCAGTCCTCAGTCAGATGGGTAAATACGGCCTCAACTCCACTTGGGTTGTAAAACGATAAAAAAAAAAAACCCGAACCAACACACCTCAGGGGAAAATGGCGTTATCTGTTGCAGTAATCCCGGATGTTTTTTCTACACAAGACCGGCTGTTCCTCCTGTGATTAATTTCCCCTCCCCCCTCCCTCCATTATCTTGATAATTAAATCGCGGAGTCCCTCGGGATTATAAATGTGCAGTGATAACACAGCTTTTTAAGTGATAAAGAGAAACAGAGAGAGGGGGAGAGAGAGAGAGAGAGAGAGAGAGAGAGAGAGAGAGAGAGAGAGAGAGAGAAGGGACAGAATCTTAACGAGAGAGATTTAAAGACTCTGGATGATTTCGTAAGGTTAACTCAGTGAGAAAAAGGTGCATACTCCTTCCAGACCATATATGGTAATTGGTAAGTAGAAATTGTCACTTTACTTGATATTTTTCCCCTGATAATTTGGTATTGACCGCTAATTGCCAGAATTTGCTGTTAAGTCGAAGGAAAAATTAGCTCTGGGATTCCAATTCCTCATGAATTCTAATTTCGGTTTAAATGAACTTCAATGACTCATTGACTTTCATTTTTTCTTTCTGTGTCATGTAACCGGTGCGGAGTCCAAAGAAATCCTGTTTAAAATATCGTCGTTGACTCACAATTTATGAATGATAAATTCGTGAGAAAATTCCCTCAAGAATTCCGATATTAATAATACAGTAGCCAATTACAAGCGCGAGATAAGTCGAATTTAACAGTTATATCTAATACCGATTGATGTAAAAGAAATTATTGATTTTAGGAGAAAATCTCAGCGACAGAGATTTTTCCGTCTTAATTTAGGGTTTAATAGCAGAATTGATAATTTGATGATGAGATAGATTGAAATGAAAAATTAGCGTGAGTGGTTGTCACGAAATGGTCATTTCAATTAACAAGGGTTTGTTAATTCTGGATGAATGTGCGATCTGGAGTTTCGACCGGATCTACGTGACTAGAATTCCCTGATTTTCCATCAGTTTTTATTCTTTCTCGTTTCCGCAGAGGTAGAGGTACTCCATGTACTCGCATGTCTGAGGGAAAAGATATTCGATGGAGAGAGGGTATTACTCGGAAACCAAAAGGACTTCCTTGAATGGAAGCATAAGAGATTAGGAGGATGCGGAGGAATGCATATGAGACGCATCTCGTGAATGAACAAGTTGGAATTAATTTTCGGCACTTGCTCCAGTGCTTCATTACTTTTATTATTCGGAATGCCTGTATTTCCATAACTCCCCTTGCACTCAAATTCAATTTGAACAATTGAAAATTAATTTTTCTAATTACCTCTCTTAGCTGAAATTCGTATTGTTTAATTGCAATTTGAGCAATCATATTTTGATGTGGAACATGCTTAAATCCCCGAAATTATCTAGGTAGACTGTCGGCTACCGATTCGGTACAATTCGATAATTCTCCACCTCCAGGAATAACTCGATTCCCCAGCGACTAGACTATCGAGCTTGGAAAAAAATCAGCGTGCGATGGATGGGCAATTCCTCATGTGATTTCAAGTGAAACTTTAAGACTTGAAAGCTCTAAAGTTCACCTTTATTTTCACCCTCGTGCCCATTTTAGCCGAGAATTGTGCACAAACGTATGAAAACGTATGAAAAATGCTCGGGCATTACCATCATTAGTCACCATATTTTTTGGAGCAAACACTTCCATGTCCCTGCATAATGCCCTCGGAAAAAAAAGAAGAAAAATTCGCTCCCATGAATATCTAGTACCTTCAACTATACCCTCTCATTTCTTCTAACGAAAATTAATGAACAAGTCGTTGGAAGCGAGAGTGATAAAAAAATACAATTATCTCTATTTTTTCTCCCCACTCATATTGTTATTATTTTTTTTTCTACTGGACTATTTGAAAATATATAAATCAGGGGCTAGCGTAAATAAACTGAGTGAAAAGAAACAGAGGAATTGAACGAATGTTTTTTCACGTGAGGGATAAATATTTTGGTGGGTCTCGGCGGAGTCTAATCGATTTTCCCGTGATATTCTGGTGGGCAAAAGGGTCAATCACATGTTTCCAAGTTCTGGATTATTTCGGGTCAATTAAACACGAACAATTACAGGGATGCACCCAGGAAGTGGCAGCTTCCACGTGGAAATCGAAACAAAAGCGTTGTATTGATCTATTCTGTTAGTAATCAGCGGAGGTTTTCGCTTATTGTGGGATTGCCATTCCTTGAATCATCTATTCATCATATGCCGTTTACCTCGAGACAATCTATACGACCGGAAATCGAGAGAAATAAATAAAAAATGGAAAGAAGTGGAGAGAACCGGGTAAAAGAGAGGCAAAGGAAATATCGTGTCTGCATTATCTCGACGAGTCTGATGTAGTAGATGGTTTCAATCCCAGAGGTTTGAGCCCAATGCCTCAGAGTTCTAAAGTCGAGGGAAACACGAAAAGTGCACACAAGTCAGTCATACACTTACGAATTCCGATATAAATAACTGTAGGACCCTGGCCACACCGAGTAAAATGTGTTACGTACATTCTCCGTTAAACATTTAAGCCAATACAACCAGATGCTCTGAATTTTACCTCAAATTCCTGTGATATCGAAAAATCCTTCAATCGATACCGACATGCCCTAATTTCTCCCCAGATTTATCTCCTACATTCTATTAGTTTTCAACTTTCAGCATCTGGTGCTGCATCTCACGCGAAAAATTTATCCCATTTTTTATTTCAAGCCTCGCATCCATTAATTATAATGGTGCCGATAAAATAATTACTCATTTCATTTAGGCCTTCGTATAGGCACGATTATTAAATTCACTCTCAACGGTGTAAAAGGGGACCTTTGAGCAAAATTGGACGTTAACCCCGAGTGTCTCAGAATAAATCTATGGTACCATTTGTAGGAGAATATTACCGTAATCGAATTCCACAATTTCGAGTAAACCAAAATCCAACTCAACATGAGTATTCAGATAACAAACATTTTCACGATTTTTCCGAATAAACGATGGATTTTCCCCACGATAATGAGCACTTGCGTATTTAAAAAAAAATTCAAGTACCAAAGTTCATGGGTGATCCATGCAGCATCAACAAATAATGTTTACAATCGTTGAAACGCAAAAGATAATCCGATACCAGTACTAATTCATTATTAATGAGGCTCTGATGATTTGTTCTGAATGCATAATTGCCAATCTCCAATCACGAGAGACTGGCACGATCATATCCACAATACTAATCACTATAAAAATCTCCAAGAAGCCGAGATAATTCTCGAGCTCCTCTCAGCGGTTGATCATGAACATGCAACGAAAACTCGTCGTCAAAAAATTTTCAATTAGTAATCTTTTTTGACTTGTCTCCCCTCACCCACCTTTTATCAGTAAAAAATAATAAAATAAAAAATAAAAATAAATCCCAGGGCCTGGAGTGTTGCCGGCTGCTGGTACAGTGTTTTCTTTGATATTAATGCCCCCGGGTTGCCGACCAACGATTTTGATGCGTGGGAGATGGTGGGCATGGGGGAGGCGCAGAGAGGAATTCCAATGGGTGGGGCGATAGAATCAACCAGAGGAAGAGAAACAGAACAAAGAGGAGAGCAAACGTTAAAGTTAGTTCACCAGCTGAACAGTACTGAGCCAGTACAGCCTGGGGTATAATCGTGGGTAGACGCCATACTTGAATATCTCTGTGTGTGTGTGTGTGTGTCATAGAATAGTTTATCGTATTCCAGTACGCCGTCTCCATCCCCGGCATCGGTGAATTCTCACCTAAACAATCCTGCCACCGTCAGCCGCGTTAAATAACACCCCCGTCGTCTAATTTTTCTTTTTTTTTTTTTATATCATCATTCTTTCATCATTATTTTCAATTTCTTTTTATCATTCTTGCATTGTTCACCTTTACCCGGGGGATTGAGAACTGCTCCAGTACCCGAGGCGAACACCTCGTTCGGATTTCGTGGTGGAATTTTTTTTGAGTAAAAAATTGGAAAATATCGATGTGTGGGGGTGGATGAGGATATTGAGGAATTTTTTTTCACATTGTACACGGTGAGTGACACCATATCGCTGGTAGTTTAATAATAAAAAAATTTCCGGGTTTTTATGGGGCTGTATGAAAACAACGGGAGAATCTTGTTTGACAAACACAATGTGCAACAGTCAAATGAGTCATGTGATGCTCTAACACGAGGGGTTTACAACTGGTTGTCTTGAATAAGCACTTTTTGTTCTGATAAAGAAGGGGACACATGGCAGGTTTATGGTGGGTAAATAGAAATAAAGAAATTCCAGTGGTGGTAGAAGGCTAGGGGAAGAGTCTTTGATTCGTGTGACATGGGATTAGTACAGCGGATTTTAACTTCAATTTGGTTTTCTCTCTTTCTCTGAAGGTATTTGTAATGATTCACCAGGTAAATCATCAGGATTTAAATCATCGATAACTTGGAATTGACAGAAGGAAATTGTCGCGTGTTCCCCTGAACCATTGAAATCTCATAATTTGTTTGAGAGACATGGAATCCCGAATAAGACGGCTTCGACTGCCCTAAAAAGGACAGTACTATCCGTGCTCATTACAAACTTTCCCATTGACAATTTACTCTAATAACAAACAGAAAAAATCACCTCGAGTTATAGGTTTCAAAGCAGACACGTAGATTCCATATCTCCAACGAACCCCCCGAAATTCATTGGCATATCAAAATAAGTGATGGGTAGGGCACATTTCCTTTCCACTTATTCCCCTAAATTATTTCCAGCCTACTTATTATCCGTGTCTTCATTATTAATAACCATTCCCAGCATTTACAGAACAAATATTGAAATTGAATGAGTGACAACGAGCGTCGGTGGTATTTATGAATGGGCATTTACTGGTGCATTTGTGCATGATATCGTTAATGCACCGCACTATCACTCTATCAACTCTGTTTATACACGCATAATCAAGTAAATATACGGTGCATTCAATTATGCAGGTTGAGCACTGATTAATGAGAGTCAAAGTGAAGGAGAGAGAGAGAGGGGCAGAGGGTAGGGAGTCGTGGGACAGAATGATTTTCTCGTCTGAATAATCCATTCATCCGTTATCGTGCATGGTTAGGATCCATTATTCATTGAAATTTTTGGGTCTGAGTCACGGATTTTAGAGCCAAGGATTAAGTGGGATCGATGACCCCGATCTATTCAATTATTCTCTAATATTTTTAACTATTCTCGAATTTTTATTATTCTCTGGGATAATTTTTAATGAGATTGAGAGTCTCAGGGTACGATTCTTCATGCAGCGTGAGAGTGAAATTGCTAGGGTTAGCGAATCGTCATACTTATTTATACCACTGACGAGCCACATGTCTGGTAGTTATGAGCTTTCAATGTGGAGGAAACCGGCGCACTCCATTGCAGATTCGCAATAAACTTCTTCAAATAGTTCCCAACCCATCCGAAAAAGAAAAAAAAACACAATTCAATCCCGTTGTCATTGTAATTAAAAAAATCGTGCAATAAAATTCCGAAAATTCCTGACAATATCCCGAGCTGAATTTTATCTGACCCCCATTTTTTTTTTCTTTGAATAAACACGACTGCTAAAATCACAGCAGCCATGTGGAAACTTTTACCCTGGGGTATGAATCCAGGGACAAACAGCAAATCCATACCATTTTTTTTTTCAATTGCTGTATCATCGATGCATTAATAATTTGCACATCGAAACCAGGGACTGGAATTTTCGCATGATTTTGTCTCGGAGAGTGAAAAAAATGTTTAAATTTTGGGCGAAAAATATTCACGCCGGCTTCAGCGAGTTTATTCACTTATTGATAAATTAAATACACTCAGAGGGGACAACTATCGCTTCAATATCATTAATCGTTCAGTCGGTGGTATTGAGGATTTAATTTTAGAACGAATCATGATGAATTGCGAGGTGAAGGAACTCCAAAGTGGAGTCCAAGGACATTATGACGATTTTCAATTCAATAAGAACGAAACTTTTGAAAATACAATGGCCCAAGGGTATTCCCTCCATACGAATAAAAAAATCAATTCAAACGGAATCTTCATTAAAATTCTCTCCACTAAAATTGACTCTCGAACCGGAAACTTGTGGCACACCAAAATGTTTAATTCAACAGAGACGAACAACTCGGTACAAATCACAGACATTCTTCAATATTATAAATGAAATACTGTGATATCAGCAATATCGCAGCTTTAGCCTCGATGATGATCCCATAGCCAGAAATTCCGCGTCGCGCAATACGTTAATGCAATTATATTTTAACCCATTGGCAAACAGAAAAGCTGTTAATAGTCTAAAAGTGCCGAACAAATGACGCAAAAGACTCCCAAAGTGTGTGGAGAATGCATTCGTTGATATTCTATCCACTTGAGACTGACGCGTCTTAATTAAGTGGACGGGATGTTTCAATCGAATTAATCCCCTCGCAACCCAATATCACAAAATTCATCGAAGGGAATTATCCGAGGGGAATCGATGAAAAAATAAAAAATACAGCCGGCAACACTCAATTCGCAATGATATTTCAAAACATCAACCTCATTTCTTATTTGGTTGTAGCTCCGCTATTGTTCAATTTTCACAGATGCTCTTAATTTGGGACACTTAAAGTTAAGTGGATCGCCGGCATACGCCAACCCTCACGATTTAATACGCCATCCACATTGCAAATCAACAAATAAAAATGTTAAAAAATGAGACTGAATAATTGAGAGAGAATCGTTGAATCAGATAAATACTATTCCGTTTACACAATTCCATTTATTTCAGTCGACATGGGCGGTTTTTATTATCGCAAAATGCACCCACGGTACTTCATCAAGAGGAGAATATCTACAATTACGCAAGAAATTGAGGACGATGATCATGCAATGCATTTCTTATGTAATTTCCAGAGATGAAATGAGAAATCCCTGAGAAATTGCAAGTTACGAGGGAAAAAATCATTGACGTAAAAATGCCATTTTTTTCCCCCTCTCGGAGGTCAAAATTTTTTTGTCGTTTCAGATTGAACAGTATGCCACAGTGAGGATATAAAGACTGACAAATAAAAAATATGAAGTTGACCTCCCTAGCACTGACTCTGCTACTGCCTCTGACACTTGGCCTGACATCCTCCGATGATGATCTCGTCTTTGATGACATAACTGAAGAGACATCACCACCTACTCTACCAACTCGTCATAAGGAGCACGATGTGAAATCCCACAGACCCAAGAAATATAAAAAGATCGAGAGATTCTGGGGTATAGCCGATGGTATTGCGGTCGTTGGACAGGTTTTTAAACTGAAAATACCGAAGCAAGCGTTCAGTGGGAATATAGATCGCTATGACGTGAGTTTTTCATTAAATCTCATTTCTAATTCAATAAATAACGAGTTTCGACCATTCATGACAGATTTCACACGACATTCCACCATTTATTATTCTTATTTTTTATTTGGCCCATAAGATTCGAGGAAATAATGGAAAGCCACTGCCCCATTGGCTAGCTTTTGACGATGCTGCTTCCACTATTGTTGGTGTACCAACCAGGAAAGACGAGGGCCACCACCGGATCACCGTCAAAGCACACGGAAAGCACGGAGGAATTGCTGATGATAATTTCACAATTCGAGTTGTCAACGACAATTATTCGGAAATAAAAAATAAAAATTACAGAGTGAGTTTAAAAGAATGAGAAATGAGAAATATTGTAGGCAGTCACTGATTCAAGAAGTGAAATGAATCAGTGGGTCACGAATTGTTTCGATGCGCATCTGCTAGTGCATTTAACGAGTCGCATTGTATAATTAAGCTACACTGATTGATGCCAATTGACATGTGTGTCAACCACCTCCACGATATTGATGCTCATTGATTAACTATGATTCTAGAATCGTTGTGACGAATCCGAAGACAAGACTGTGATGACTATTTTGTTGGACACGAGATTCGATAGTTTGAGACCAACAGTGAAAGTCGAAGCTATCGAGAATCTCGCGGGTTTCTTGGGACTGCACAATGTACGTTTTCAAAAAAGGAATAATAATTTATAATGTTATTAATGAATAACTGATGATGTTCCTTGAATTTTAGAATGATCTCTTCATGTACTCGCAAAGTAAAAAGGAGGAAAATCCCTCTGACCAGTCGACAATTGTTCTGACTGGTCCAGGAAATGTGAAGCGTCGTAAGGAAAAGCATTCTAGTGTAATTCAATGGCAGGTGAGTTATCAGTATGAAATAATTCAATAAAAATAGATAGAGAATAAATGAAATTTAATGAATTGGGTGGATGAAGGTGGGCTGCGACGGTCATCTGTGGAAACACCAGGCAGACATTGTCAAGCAGATTCACGAACAGGCGAGGGATGGAACCCTCACCGAAGTCCTCCAACTGCCCGTTCTCTCATGGAGGGTGAAAAGTGATACCAGCGATCTCCTGCGAAATCGCCGAGAGACAGGCTCCGGTGATTACGGTAACAACGACAATGAGAGTGACAATGATAATGACAACGACTATGATGATCGTGATTATGATTACGACAATCCCGAGCCCTTCGACGACGCTGATAATGATCGGGATAATACAGATGATAATGAGGCTATTACGGAAATACCACGTAGGGCATTCGTACCTAGTGCATCCGAGCCCAAACCCTTCCCATCCGAGTCCGATCATCCCCATCGACATCATCATGGACAGGAGACTGTTGATTGGGAGGTGAGTAATTGTTGGATAGAGTATTTCAGAGATCATTATGATAAATAATGTTGAATTATTTAGACGGAAGAGCAAGTTAAATTAGACGAGATTCTGCGAGCAAGCAATCCCCAGGAGAACGCCATCAACACGACAACTTCATCACCTCCAAGACTGGTAAATTTTCCCCATAAACATCTACTCAAGTCTACAATAGATTAAAATAGATGAAAAAAAATGATGATAAATAGCTTGAGCCTGAGTTCTGTAAATAGCTTCACTGCATTCACTTCTCGATAGTTAAAACTCATAAAATGCAGTCTTGTCCAAGAGTCTAGTCTTAATTTTCGTGACTAACAATAAATTAAATCATTAAATATTTATGCATAAATCGAACAATCCGCATCTACTAACAATTTCACAGACAACAACAGAGCAAACAAGTGCCACACAAAACTCATCACCCACACCGAGTTTCGAACCAGTCACAACTCCGAAAACACCGATTCAACAAGCAACAACTGTTGGCGATGTACCATCACCTAAAACATCAACAATATCCACGACATCAGCCGATCCAACAACAACGAATGTTACCGATTCATTAAGTACAGCTGATGACATACAAACGGAATTAACCCTCGATAATTCAACTTTAACAAATACAATAAGAGCCGATTTAGAGACTGTCCGGCCGACGATATCAACGGATAATGATACATTATCATCGACTGAATTAACAACATTGCCAAATTCATTAGGAATAGTAACTTCATCAACGGAAAAACAGGAAAATAATAGTACAATCGATGAGGTAAACGCTTTTATTGCTTCCCAATGCTTTATACTTTTCAAATTATCAGCTTTTATCGAGCTAAATTGTCCTTGTCAGAAGCTTCATCAATTCCTCGTTTAATATTCGTTTAATGTTACCATCATTTTAATCTACATAAAATATCCAAATGTTTATTCACTATTTGTCTGGGGCTGAGGACGAGGAAAAATTAAATTATCCATTCAATGTAGATCATTGAGTCAACGGAAATATCGACAACGGACAAAACGTCGACGAATGCTCCAGTGATCCTCCCATCGTCAACAATTACCGAGCCTTCAACAACTCCATCAACTACCTCAACGACCACTACAACTGAAAAAACCACAACTGAGGAAGCAACAACAACAAGTACTACAACGACAACAACAACGACAACTCCATCAACAACGACAGCCTCGACCTCCACCTCGACTTCGACTTCGACTTCGACCACCACTACCACCACGACAACTGAGCCACCTAAAACGACAAGTGAGGGCTTTGAGTTTGGCATTAAGAATATGCCACCTAAACAGGACAGGAGACTTAAGAAGATTGCGGTGACAGCTGGGAAGCCACTGAGTTTCATCATTCCATCCAATACCTTCAGTGATATTGAGGATGGTGACACGAGGAATTTGAGATTAAGACTTTTGCTGAAGGGTAATTCCGTGAGAAGTACTCACTGGCTACAATTCAACGATAGAACACAAGAAGTTTACGGACTGTGAGTATTTATAATCATTCGAATTATCTGATAAAATTATTACGTCATTCACATGAACATCTCCAATATGATGGACTTTGGAATTCCTCTCGTATTCCAGGCCCCTGGAGAATGACATTTCTCAATGGGAGTATGACGTTGTGGCATCAGATCGTGAAGGCCTCACTGTATCAGACAGCCTGGATATATACGTGCAACAGCAGAAATTCACAAAATCGATCAATCACGAGTTTAGCATATATTTGGAGATTGTTGAACGTTCGAAATTCCCGACGAATGTCGATTGGGAATTGAAGACGGTTCAACGTCTTGCACAATTGTACGGTGACACTGACGGGAGTCAAATTACAGTGCGCTCAATAGAGACTGAAAATAATATGGCGATATTCACTTGGACGAATGACAGCGTGCCCAGGAGCAGTGAATGTCCCAAGGATGAGATCAATAAACTGTTGCATGTAAGTCAACCATTCATTAATGAACATCCCTATAATTTATTTTAGAATAAATAAAAGAGTTGACAAATTGAATGGTAAATTGTAAGACAAAATAATTTAAATTTCAGTTCAAATGAAGATCAATTTAATGAGTGAATTTTCCTCGAAACAGGTATTGATAGCAGATCAAAACGAGACACCTAGTGCCCTCCTTCAACAAATTCTCTCCCCAGAAATTCGTGTGACCCGTGTGGTGTACCAGGGCCACGGCCAGTGCGAAACGATGATTCAGCCTGAGGCCCCAGTGGTCCCCGAGGTAGAAACACCCAGAGAACCCAAGAAGAACCTCTTCCCCCTGCCAAGAAACCAAGTGGACCAGATAAATGCAGTGGTTGGTCAATTGCTGACCTTCCGAGTCCCAGAGGATACCTTCTTCGATCACGAAGACGGCTCCTCCAGGAACATGAAGATGTCCCTCTTGAACATCGATAGAACAGAGATATCGCCGAAGGACTGGCTACAATTCGATGGCAAAAACCAGGAGTTCTACGGTGTTCCTCTCGAGGAGGATTACATAAAATACAGTAGAAGACAATATCAACTCGTTGTTGTTGATAAAGAGGGAGCAGAAGCTGTGGATACTCTGGTGGTGGTAATCGAAAAAGCCGATGATGTACGTCACCTCGTTGATTTCTCCATGACCCTCCACATTCCCTATGAATCATTCATCCACTCGTCAATTCAAAAACGCAATTTCATCGAGAAACTTCGAGATCTTTTCGGTGATAAAGACACAAGCTCGATATCAATATCTGGTATCACTCCAGGGAGTACAGTTATCAACTGGAAAAACACATCATTACCAACGAATTATTGTCCAGACGCTGAGATCAAGAGACTAATGGAGATACTGGTTAAGCCAGATAAATCCCTGACTGATCACGTTAACGAGATAATGGGAAAAGACTTTCCAGTGCAACAGGTGACTCTCATACCCCTGGGAATTTGCGTTGGGGAATTGACTAGAGTACACACACCTGGTAGCTACATACCACCATCCGAGGATTCAACAGCTGTGAGATCATCACAGGACGATTATCTCATTACTTTTATTCTACCCGCTGTTATAATTGCTGCTATGATACTGTTGGCTGGTATCATTGCTTTTATACTCTACCGAAGAAGAAGAAGTGGCAAGATGAGTGTCAGTGAGCACGATGACGAGAGACAGAGTTTCCGAAGCAAGGGAATTCCTGTGATATTTCAGGATGAGTTGGAAGAGAAACCTGATCCCGGGAATAAATCGCCTGTGATTCTTAAGGAGGAGAAACCCCCCCTGCCACCACCAGAGTATCAAAAGTCTGACGACGGTGCGGATCAGCCAATGTTGCCAAAAGAAAATTCAGAAGAGCCATATCAACCACCACCACCATTTGCCCGTACATCGGACAACAATCGTCAGAATCGACCAAAACCAACGCCAACATACAGAAAGCCACCCCCCTATGTGCCACCCTAACAAAATAAGACAAAATCGCAGAGAAAAAATCACGTACCAACGATGCTCGGAGACTCGAACGTAATTAAGACTAAAAACCAAAAAAATCATCGAAAGAAAAAACACGACAGTCAAAACGCTTCATTTCACCAGTAGTCAATGAAATCAATCCCATAACGAATTACATGAATCAATACTAAGTTGGTAATTTCTGTTTTAATGATTAATTCAGATGCGTGATATTAGTGACATGTTTTAACCAGAAACAGTGCCATTTTTCTAAGGAATAAGGGACTGCTTACAATTCAAACACTTGGCAATATTCAAGTCCATTGAATTGTTTTTATTTTATTGACAATTTTTTGATGATTTTAATTGCATTATTTTCAATATCCCCGGGGTATTTTTAATTTTTATAACGCAGTTGAATTGATAAATTCGATGCACTTGAATATTTTCAATGAAAAAAAAAATTGAGCTATTAATTGATGATGTGTCTCCAAGCATGTGCACCTATGGCAATACTTAATTGGATAAAATCACGATCGATTTAAGGAAACATTACTTATGAAAAAACCACTGCCAGATTTTTTTCACCTTTATAATACTATAATGATCGAGGACGTTGGCCTTCAAAATTTACCAAGTTGGCAATTTTTCATCCAATCGTTTACTGACAATACGCGATAAGATGAAAAAGTGCCTGAGGGAGAGTAAGAGAAATAGGGAAGAGCTATAAATAAATTTTAAATAAAAGAGGAGGACGATATCTTTATAAAAATGTACCAATTATAAATTAAAAATAAACGGTATACATAAACGAATGCAATGAATGCTTCCATGACACCCAGATGTCATTATAATATCGAGCCAATTATCTGATAAACATAATGCTTAATTAATTATCAACATCCGTTCGATACGTGGCTCTAGACTGGTGGCAGTATTCAATCATATTAATTGTTTAAAAATCAATTTGCGATTATTCAATCACGCATTATCCATTTTTCAGACATTTTTTTTTTTTCATTAAATTTTCCTATACTTAATGCTGATTTTTTAGTTTAAACGCACAAAATTGCTTTTTAATGAAACGATGTTCATTTTTTAATTGATCCGAAAGATTTTAAAACGATTGACTATTCCGAGGGAAAAATTGGCAGTTATCAAAGACTATAGAATAGTTACCAAACCAAAAAATTGATATTAACCAAAACTACACAGGCGAAATAAAAAAAATCAATAAATTGTGAATTAAACAGAACAGACTTTGAATCTGTCCAATTTTTTATAACAAATCCTTTTCAATTACGGTTGTAGCAATAAAAGATGAGCCCATTAATGTAGTACTTAATATATTACTGTACGTCAATTGTTTCTCTAAGTAATTTTTTAACATTGGTATTTTTTCGACAACATGAACAACAAACGAATAAACCATGAAAGCAGTCATTTTTTTTTTAATTAATATTTCGCTCAGTGTCCCACATTTGTCGACACAATTTTGTTGGTGTTTAAAAATTGCTCGTTTCTCCCGAGCTCAGTAATTTTCGTGAAGAAAAAAAAAATATTTGAAACAATATTCGACACAGAGTTTTTTTGTCATCGCTAATGACCTCGGTTGTTGATGCAACATAAAATGATAATAATGAGTGGAGATTCGTTGGAGGTGTGTGAAGATATATTAATGGATTGATAATAAACCGATGCCAAGTGTAATACCACTGGAATGTATAATAAAAATATTATAATTATCCCCTAATTACTTAAAAAAAAGAAATTAATATCAACATAGAGTAGGAACGAGCGAATAACTACGATCCAATGCTTAATTAATTATCATGAAAATCACAGCGCCAGAATTGATTTCATATTTTTGTAAATTTTATACCCCCAATTGTCGCCTCATTCGTCCATTTGCAATCTATTTATCGATTAATAATCACAATTCATCATGAAAATTCTTTGCCTCATCGAAATGAACGCCACGAATTGTAATAGAATTTCAATCGCACATTAATTTAATTTCTCCCACGTGAATAATGACGTTAAAAAAAAAACAAGTGACAACAGTTGCCCTAAAAAGTTGCCCTGCAAAGAGCAATAAACCACAGCTAAGCCGTTAATCATTTTTTTAATGCGCTTCTACCAAAGGAAATAAAAAACCTAAATGTTTACGAGTCACAATGCTATCAGATCATATCATGCTTTCATATCACACGTGACTTGAGATTGAGAGCTAGATTCTGTGTTCGTCATTACGTAAACAATGATACACTGTGTACCGATGACTTAGATAGTTAAATTCACGTGCGATCAAATGAGAAAATTTTCGATAAATCAGGAATTGACAAAAATCTTGACATCCCATTTCCTTTGACTCCCCTCGCTCTATTGTAAATCCTCTATCTCTCCCGTCCCCTTCCCGTTTTACTCCATCTTCAACAAGGAAAGAGGAAAAAATACTTCGATCAAGTGGTAATTAACATATCACCAGTGAAAAAAATCGACGGATAATTTCAGAGGAGATATTCCATGAAATTCTTCGTCTTCGCGTGAAAAAAATATTTGAGATTCGTGAATTACTGAAGATTTTTTCCACACGTCTGAGATGGAGATGAGAATAACGATAAAAATAATAATCATTACGATAAGAAGCAATAGAATATTTTTCAATTGTTAACACTGTGCTTTCTCGAAACACGGTACGTCATGCGTAGAGCTAGATTTTTTAGAAATCGTGAGGCATTCTGACAATTTTGTATATTAAATAATTAAAACAATGGCTAGATGAGAGAGTAGGAGGATAAGATTGATCAGACTAATTGTCACTGGATGTTGAAGGACAGGGTGTTGTTAAATTGAAATCAACTAGAATAGATTGCCAGCGAATTTTAGGATTATTTTTGTCAACTGAGCAACACAAAAGCTTTCTAACTTCTAAAAAAAATAAGCACTTGGCCGATTATAATGTTGGATAACGTGTTGTTCTCGAGGAATTCAGAATGAAATTGAAGAGATGAATAAATCATTTAATCAATATGGAGTGTTTCACAATTACGGTCATAACGAAAAAATGTAAAATGTGTATAAATATTGAATTATATTATTCGGAGAAATGAGACAAGCGTATATTCAAATTTGTGTAAAAATATGGATCAATAAAGTCATTTTGAGGTGAAAATAGGGTGTTTTGTGGATTGAGAATTCCCGGGGGGATCTCACCACTAGAAAATTATCACTTTCTGGAGCATTATCATGTATTATGTCAAAAATACCCAATATTTGTTCTAAAGTGAAGGAAAAAATTCATTTTTGATGGAATAATAACTGTGGTAAAGTTCCATCTCGTAATTTCCCCTCATTTTCTCTCATTTCCTCCAGTCAATGATATTTTCCAATGGTGAAATGCGATTTTTATCAACTTAATGTGAAACGATATACCTCACAGCATTTAGAAATGGAAACTATCGACTCCATTTATCTAAAAACTATTTTTTACGTGTTTTATACACAAAATTCCCTCAAACAATTTTTCCCAGTATCACCCCCTAAAACTCTAAATGAGAAAACAAACGTTGTCCCTTACACAATAATTTCTCTTCCCGTTGAAAGGGTTTTTTTGAAACCGTCTGCGACATCCAGCTCATGTACATTTTTTTCTTGGTTAGTACAATCAAGTAAACTGATTGTACATGTCTGTAGAGTCAGAGTCGCGAAGGTACAAACGATTA